ACAATTACTCAGTATAAAAAAAAATCCAAAGCATGACTCTTGGTAAATAAAATTCAAATTATTAGGATCAATGCAAAAAAAGTTTTGAATTAATATTTATTACAAAAATCTTTTATTTAGTCAATCCAAACTCCAAATGACTTATTTTTTATTTTAAAAAATATATTTCGATTAGCGTTAGGTTAGGTTGTGAAAATGCCAGCATACAGAAATATATATCTCACTTTCCAATTAAAAATCCAACAAAAGCTATTAAATCTCTTGTCACCGTTGCATAAAGCCACAAAGCGGCAGCTCCCACACACCCTTTAATACAATCGCAATTTCATTGCAAAGGTTAAACTCTACGGACTTCCACCACTTAATCTCTTGGTCCGGTTCAATTGCAAGTTAAACAACTCAATTTGCCCCGGAGCAAGCTATCGAATATGGACAGGCAATTGCAGAAGCTAAAGCAGCACGGAAAGGATATGACCACTCCCACACGCACATGTGTTTGAATAAAAGGACAATCAATGTGATTTTCTGCGACTAGATAGGACTGAACAATAACAGCAAAAACAAAAACAAAACAACTACGACAAGCCGGAAAACAACAATTTAATTAAAAATTTATAAGCGTGTCGTTATCTTGGCAAACAAGCAGCCAAACAAAGCAACAAACTGTTGCTGCAAAGCACCCACACGAAGGCAAACAACCAATATAAATGTACTAGGGACAGCGGAAGTGGAGCACTCGAGCGCCCCCTGGCGCTGGGAAAACGACAGCACACCAACACACACACATGAGTAAACCGGAAATGGCCTGCTGCCATTGTTCTTGCCCCCACCATTGAACTCCCCTTCATTTCGACTCATTTGCTTTCGAGTTCGCCTTGTTGGCTTTGTTTAGACTTCTGCCGGGCTAATTACTGCAGCTCGAGCTCTGAGCACCCATTGAGCTTAATTAGCACGAAAAAACTTTCACCCGGCCGCAGCGACATAATTGAAATGTTTACATTTACATTTACGTTAACGTTTTGTTCCGCAGTTTGTTGCTGTTTACTTTGCATTTGCCACAAAAAAGTTTGTGCCTCCCCCATTCATTTCAATTAATTCGCAATTTCATTAGATCATAATTCTATGCATATTCCGTAAGATGCTCCCACTTCCGTTTCGCCTTGGGCTTTGTTCTGATTTATCCTTTATGCTCATTATAAAAGCAGGGAATTACCTAAAGCCAGCCGGCAGTCGGTGTTGTCTGTGTGCGGGAAGTATTGTTCTGGCTGCGTAATTTATGGCCACAACATGGCCATAATCTGAACGAAGAGCACGGTGCGCCGGCTATTTATAAATGAAGCTACTTCGGGCGACCTTCATAAATAAGATAGATAACTTCAATAGGTGGCGGTGGTGCGCTGATTGATGGTAAATACGCACTTAGGGCAACTACCAATTTTCTGATTTGCAGATAAATATAAACCATTATTATCTTCAAGGAATTTCATGCAAAATTTTTAAAGAACAAACCCTAAAGCTGTTTTTAGTACCTTGCAATAGAAAAGAGCTTAGATATGGTAATTATGTACTATAGTGATTGAATATTTAAAAACCAAAATAGCCCTTTAATGCAATTCGTATGTATTAGCCAAAAATTGGTCTACTGTAGGATTTTTTATTTAAAATTCTATATCGCCTTTTAATGTCTTACGAAATCTTAGTAGAATTAATATTAAACTTATATACATAAAAACAATTATTGTTTATGACTTTGCAAGAGTTTTAAATACCAATACCACTTGGTACTAAAATGTCATGTAAAGTATATAACATTTTCACAAGAATAATAAAATTCAATCATTATATCTTGGCCTTCCCGGAATTTCCATCATAAACTCCCAAGCATTTTATTTACCTTAAGGCATCCTTTAACCAAAATACCTGAAGCGCTAAAAGTTAAAAAAAAAAAGCATCTTTGTAAGAAGCCAAAACAAATTCCTTTCTGTATTTCCCCATCTCCTTCAGTTGATTTTACTCAACGTGCGCCACTTATTTATCTCCATCCCACTTTATCACTTCCCCGTAATTTTTCTCCTTGGCGTTATGGGTAGCATATTTTTTGGCGCTCCCTGTGGGGGCGGAAAATTGCAAGGTTTACATTTCAATATCAGGGGCGTCTGTAAGACTCTTAAAAGCTTTGCCAATTGTTGAATATTTTACAGTTTTTTATTAGCTTTGTGTGTTTACCGATTGTCGCAAAAGGTTGTTCTGCTTGTTTGTGTACTATATACCCGAATACCATACCGTTTATATATCCAACTTGTTCACACGCTGGCATTAAATTTGCCGCTGTTTGTTCGCCTTCTTTGCCGATGTTTAACCTGACCGTGTTTCATTATTTTTTTTTTTTTTTTGTGATTATTTCTCATTAACAGGAACGCAGAGAGAACTGCGCTTATAATATTTTTGTATTATTTTTCCCCGCTTTCTGGCCCCGTTTTAATGGACACGGACCGTTGATTTTAACGTCTCGTGCCAGTTGACGTAGTTGTTTTTGCTTGGCCGGGCTTTCTTCCTTTTTTCACAAATTAGTCGCACGAACATTTTGCCGCTTTGGTGCCGCCGCTCTGGAAAATTGTTTGCAACATGCAAAGCGGCGGCCACAAAATAGGCCGACAGAAAGCCACATGGCCTAGGCCTAGCCAAACCCAGATCCACCGTAAACCTCGATGCTTTCAAGTGAAAACAAATATGCAAGCGGGTCGCACTAAAGAAAGTGCTCATAACTATCTTTACACTTGGAAAAGGACTATTTTAGAAAATGTTTTTAGGCTAGTGAAGTTTACAGAAGGATAAAGTCTAGATACCTTAGAGATTTGACCAGAAGCATATAAAATTAAGTAAATGGTAAAGAAAAAGAAATACAGCTAGTGCCGGTAATATAAGATTGACAAGCGATTGAAAAATTAAAACCATAAGGCGATCTTATTTAAATACCTTTTAATGTATTATTTTTTAAAAAGATGATTTTTTCAGTGCCATGAGATTTGGTGGCTTTCTGTATCACGTAGCCGTCTCCTGCCAAGCAGAAGAACCAGAAAGCAGGGACCAGGAATGCTCCTGTCAGCATTCTTTGGTGTCGTTCCAGCCAGACTGACAAATACACAAAGAGACATGCCACACTCTGGGGGCTCCTTTTTTCCCATTTTTCCCACATTTTTCCCCATTTTTCGCCGTTTTCCGAGTCCTTGGTCCTTCGGCGTGCATGCCACTTTTTTTTTTGCCTCGCTGCGGCTGCTTACATGAAATGAATATGGATTTTCTTTTAATTACAACTCCATGGCCCGCATAAAGCCTTTCACATTCTTTTCCGCGACTCTGGCTATTTGTGCCTGTGCCTGCAGCTATTTTTGGCCCAAAGTCTGAGCCAAGGCTCTGTTGCATAAATTCGACATGTTTTGGTATCAAATTTCCCCGTGTCTACTGCCAATCAGAGCGACAACAATGGAATCCCATCTTCTCGGCATGTTTACGTCTGCCTTATAGATTTTAATGCCACAAAGGCTGAGGATTTATGGCTGGCAGAATTTGAATGTGAATTCAAATGAAATCTGTTGAATGCAAATATTTTATTGTTGTCTGTTATCGAGGCAGTTTTTTGTTATTGCCAAATGGGCGTTACGGATTGTGATTTGCTTACTTATGTAAATCTTTTTTTTATGATTAAGCGATTATATTGTTGGAAGAACAATTTTTGCATTTTACGTAAGTAAATTAAAAATATAATTTATACAGAGCACAAGTGGAGCTTGTGGAAAATATTAAAGAAGTCTAAATCATAAAACTTTAATTCGTTATTTATAATGCCAGAATTGTGCTTAAAAATAGTAAAAACTTTAAAATCCTTCACATAATAACCAGTCTTTATTAGCAAAACATTAAATGTAAGGCAAAACACAATGAGTTAGATTTCATATATCAAATAGCAAAAGCTTAAAGTTAAGTGCCCATTCGAATCACTTCAAAGCGCTTTTCACAATCCCACAACTCCATTAAGCTCATCAAAGACATTCTTGGCTAATCCTCCATTTAGTTAATGGTTGTTTACCGGTAATAAGGATTATTATTTCATTATCGAGAGGGACACAGCTTGCTTATATTCAGAGCGTTGTGAACGTTCGAAACGGAATATTTAGTGAGCACATATTCTTATATAGAGTATGGCGCCTGAAAGGTATATAGTACATATGCAATATTCGCATACATATGATACCTGCACGTGTGCGCTTGTAAAAAACAAAAGCAATGGCCGTTGGCTTCGACATGTTCATCTTTTGCTTGGATGAGCTGCCTTGCCTCTCCGGGCTGTTTAAATATGTATTGCTTTGCATATTTTATAAACTCCACGTGCTTTTTCAGACAACACTTACTCAGTAATACTCCCGCACACATACAGAAACTCGCATTTCGCGTTTCCTAACTCGATAATATTGATTGGTAAGGAGGGACTGAGAATGAACAGCACAGATGCCAGGCAACTTATAAAAACAAAAAGAAAATAAATCAGAAAAACTAATGCAGTTTAAAAATTGATTGATGGAAATCTTTTTAAAAACTTCTAGTATTCGGAACTAACTTAGTAATATATATTTATTAGGAATATCTTTTAAAGACCCCGAAAAATATGCAATAAAGAAGCTAAATAAAAGCAAATAAAGATTTAGCTTGTTGTGCTAAACGACAAATATAATATGTCTAAACAACATCTTTCGAAACCGTTTAAATTGATTTTAAGTCATAAAAGATAAAGATGATCTTAGTAAGGATTCTCACTAAGACAATTAGGCATCTTGTCGAATACTAAAAAGGTCCAGCTACCGAACAGAGGATTTTTCAGCTTTTTTTTTTTGAAAAGTCCCCAAATGGGCATCTCTGCCATACATTATCCATTTTCTCAATCGAATAGTGAGTCACGGGGTCTCCTCCGGGGTCAGTGTTGTTAATGTGGGCCATCAACTTACCATTTCGCGGGCTCCACCGTAGCCAGCTTCAGTTCCGTGGTCCTTGCCATCGCGATAATCCTTTTGTTCGCTGCTCTGGGGCGTTTTAAATCGCGAGCGTTTTTTGCGCTACGTGTTTTTGGATTTTCACCGCTTGGGATTTTTTTGGTGTTTATATGTATTACGGAGTGGCTGTGCACTTGACAAATTGTTATTGCTGTTGTTTGCTTGTTAGTTGCCGGTTTGCTTGTTTATTTTTACACTTTGTGCAGCACACTTCGGGGATGCTGATAAATGGCCCTTCGGTTGATCATTTCACATATGCATTAGACGCTTCATTTTTGTATATGACCGCGACACATTGCCACGGATTATGTGATTTCTTCCGAGCACTGGATGAATATTTAATACTTCAATTTCCGAGCGCAGCAAAATGAGCAAGTGGAACGGCGAAAGGGGAGTGAAAGTGAGTTGGCTACAGTTTTCCCCGCTTGGCCATTTAAGGCGACTTTCACCGCAGATCCATTCGCATTATCAGCATTTGGCCTAACCCTATAACGCACTCCCACCCCCGCCCACCGACCGCCGGACACGCCCCTTTGGCTGCAAAGTGTCTCAAGTGCGCCATTAGGCGTTTGTTAATGGCTTTTTACCGTTTTGCTGCTCATCTCCAAGCGGCATGCAACGAGACACTCAGAAAAAAGAGGTAAAATAACCTTAAGCTAATAAATCTAGCTAGAATATTTTCCAGCTCCAACATACTTTTATTTGAAATCTAAAATATCTGAAGTCTTTTCTGATTCTAAAAGCATAATTTGTACTTCATTTTAAGCTAAAAATTACGTGAAAATGTTAATGACTTTAAAAATATTGGGTGAACTACTTTTTAATTATTTATTTTTTTTTCTTAAAACTTCTTCACTTTTTGCAATGGAATGGAAACTGAACTATATCCAGATCTTATCGAGATATTTGTTTGACGGCTATCAAGGATTCTGAAAACTTGAAACATGAAAAATCTATACCTTCTCGGCAATAAACTAACGAAGCGCACTTTTTCACAGGACATAATAGAACTAAAATCCATTTTTTCAGTGTTCAGCAACAAACGCGCTGAAAACTCATTTAGTATGCTTAATGACGTCATGTGTGCGCTGTTTTTAAGTAGCCTCCCCCTTTCCGAAAGTGTGTGTGTGTGTGTTTGTTGGCCCCACCCTGCATGCGACAATTCTCAGTTGCCTCCTTTTCTGTTATTGTCACAGCCGATGTTGCTGCTTTTTTGGTGGGTTTTTTTTTTGTTTTTTTGTTTTAGGACCACTCCTCTTTTGTTGATTTTCAGCCTTCATTGTTGCGTTGGTCATTTGAAATGCAGATGGCCTTGGACGGCTTAGCCCCTGGCTCCACTTTGAATGCTCCGCCCAAAATAGTCTCGCTAACCTAAACTCTTAACAAAACAGCGAATAGTTGTGTGAATGGCAGCACAGCCTTGGGGGAAATCTTACTAACTTTGCCATAGAATTTCCATGGCGAGGCGCCGAGACAAACGAGCACAGAGTCAAACGGTCTTCATTGTTTCTTCTTAACTTTTGGGATTATGACCTCGAATCAATGCTGATTTGGCAGTTTTCTTTTTGTTCGCATGTTAATAAAATAATGTATGAGGCGGAAGTCTTTAGCCGCACGAAATATTTCATAATGTTTGATAAATGAAAATATTATATTTAATGTTGATATTTCTTTATTTATATTTCAGTTTTAGCTTTAAGACAACAAAAAGATTTATAAATATGTAAAAACTCATATTTTTAAGAAAATAATATTGAATATTTTATTTGAACTAAATAATTTATTTTTTTAGTAATTCATCATTAAATTTCAACTCTACTAAGAATTGCATAAATATTATTATTTGGTTAATTCATTTCTACGACGAGTAAGGAATAGATATATAATTAAGGTAATTTAGTTCACTCTTTAGTTTTTCCCGCATTTTCACAGTACTTAAAGTTTTCCAAGGCATGAGCTTCAGTTTACTTTAATTCAAGTATTTTAGTTATCTAGTTCTAAGACGTGTTAAGTATAATGAGATATTTCAGTTCTTTGTTTAACTTCCAAAGAGTCTGCTTTGGAATTCCCTTTAATTAAACTATTTTAGTTTCCTAGTTGGCAAACCCTCTGACCCCAGCTAAATGGCTGACTCTGCGTGGTTGATGAGTTAATGTCCTGTGTTCATTAAATGTCACAGACGCTCCTCTGGGGAAGTGCATACAGCTGGAGTTAGTGACTGACCTAAGACCTTTAAACACTTTATATTCTGCTGGTCATGTAGCCGTCTTGGCCTCCCATTTAAAGTCAGTTGGCTGACACAATCTAATGTTGACTTTGCATGTTATACTGGTGGTTGGAAAGTCTTGGTCTGGCCGCTGATATAGCCACTATAGCCAGCCAGTTTTCCGCGAAAACTAGTTCACTCCCTTTTTGCCGTTTCACCAACGCTTTTGTATGCTTTGTTTAATTTTGATCGTTGCGTTATTCAAATATGTAGGCACTCACATTCACACACACACTATAGAACCGAATGGCAAAGAAATTTCCACTCCTAGAAGTTGGGGAGCAACTCCCCACGAAACTTGTTTCTGTTATTTCTTTTTTTTTATATTTTTTTTTTTGTTTGGTTAAAAAGGTACTACTGGCCGAAACCGAATCGAAGTCACAACTGTGGGAAGCGAACAATTCTGGAGGAGAGACGTCCGTTCGGGAACAGCTTGAGCAACAAACTGTTGGCCAAGAGGATTTTTTGGTTTTTGGAGTCGGCCAAAGCTCGTCGTCAGTAGCTCGTGTTTGGGGCACGCTGTTGCTATTGGCAGTGAAAGCTTTCCCCCTGTTTGCCGCCCCCCACTCCGCCACTTTTCCACCATTTTCCATGTGCGGCAGGACACGTGCGGAGCTTTTTAGCACGTGAGCCGTGTGTGTTTTACACCTGGACACTGGCTGTGTGTGGCAGTTTCGAAAAAAACCTTTCTCAACAAGTGGAAAGCTTTCAATTTGCTATTAATTAGCGAATGTCTACTAATTGAATTTTCATGGCCACGACAGCGCAGAGCTACTAATTTTTCAGTCTGTCCTCATTTTTGTTGTTTTTGGCAAGTTTCTAAAAGTTTCAACTGCGCTCATTTTCAACCTGTTGACCAGCTTATGGCGTGGTATTCGTTTGGGGGGGTGGCACAACTTGTGTCCTTACACAGTTCTGCCCCAGCAGCAGGGACCTTGTGTTGCTCTTGAAAATGGCAGCCAGCAAGCAGAAGTCGGCTGAAATATTTATGCACGTAAGGTCATCACAGCTATTTGGCTGCACTCCGCTCGGCGGGCTGGCACTAAAAATAAGTCGGTAAGTAGATATAAGTATAATTCGCGTGAGAACACTCTCTCGTCTCGCACATATATATGTTTCGCAAGTTTTGGAAATTTCGTGCCTTAATACTTTGGCAAGGACATGGCGCTAAGGCCTTTGCTGGAGTGTCCGACAACAATGAAAACTCTATAATTGAAAAATAATTGCAATAATTGCATTGTGATCAAATTTTGCCAGTTTTTCTTACAGCCAAAAATATGATGAATGGCAAAAGAGCAAAGTATACAGTGCATTTAGTGAGGAAACAAAAATAATAGTTTTTCTGAATGTTTTGTTTTTTGGGCGCGGCTGACGCAAAACTTATAAATTTAAAGATTTAGCTGTTAATGGCCTTAATTAAATGTGTAATGTACTAAAAACATATGTACTTATTTTAAATACATTTTTAATTCAAAAAAGTAATTTAATTTTTATTTTAAATTAGGCTTAAATTAAATTTTGTTAAATTCAAATTATAACGATTGTTTGAAGTTGTTAAAAGCAATAAACGCGGTTCGTGTATAAATGTCCAAGCCTTCAAAAGCTTAAAAATACAATTTATTTATTATCTTAAAAAACCAGTATTTTTAAAAAGGCGGGCTTTATTGAGGTCTAGATGGTGGAAGAAACGGGCTATTGAGTTTGATGCCAAAAAAGCTCATAAGAGCCAACCTCATCGGTGTAAATGTAGAATGTAGAAAGATTTATTCAACACGGAATTCTACAAAGTAGACAACATAAATGGTCTACTTTATTTTTACTTTACTTTACTTGAGCTGGTGTTTCCCGCCAGTGCTAGTCACCTTCAAAAAGCCCTGGAAGAAACAGTTTCAGTTGACGGAAAAACAGTTTAAGCTAAAGAAATCAAAAGATTCCGTTAGACTCTGACTGGTAGTCTAAAAAATCGCCAAAATAAAGAAAAATTTCAAGCAAATGGTGCGCTTTTAAACTCGCAGTTAATGTTACATTCGTGAACCTTCTGACACAATTTTTAATTTGAAAGGTGTTCATAGAAAAGTTGTACTCGCATCGCTCTTAAAAAAGTGGCTTGTTCACTTAAAAGACTGGAAATGAACAGTCTAAAATGCAAGTTGTTAGAAATAAAAATAAATTTTAAAAAACATTGTCAAATGCTAGGCCATTTAAATGCTCTTATTTCAAAGTGAACAAAGTTCAGCCCAGCGGTATGCTTTTTACAAACCTATTGACCTGTACTTGATTGACCATTAGGACAATCAATTGATTCCTGCCCATTCCCATAAAAAGAAAGTGCGCATCTTACGTTGTTAAATTTTATTTTAAATGGTTTTTCTCTTTCAATTACAAATGTATTTAATATTATTGTTGTTGCTGCTGCTTTTTCGTATATTTTGTTGTTGTTAACGCATTTGATTCTTGACTTGTGTTGCTGTTGTATATTTTTATGTGTGCATAAAAATCGATTCACAATCAACAACATTATTTGGTTTTTGTTTTGATTTATATTTTTACATAAAATGCATTTCGTTTGTAAATAAAATAATGTCTGCATGAATTTTTGTTAAAGTATTCTCTTGCCAGTTGCCCTGCGCGGCGCGCTTCATATAAATATGTAGTGTATATATAATTTGCTTTCGGTTTTCATTTATTTTATTATTAAATTACATTTCACAAAATACAATTCACAACTACACTTGACGTCAAGTTTCTGGTTTCCGTGTAACTTCAACTAGTCCATCAATCACCTCCCAGCTTTCAATCCTCCTCTATCCTGACCTATCAATCTAAAATCCACTCCATTATGAAATATTTTCTTTTTAAAATTAAAAAGTCGTATACATTCGCAAATTGCAATCAATTTCGGTTCATCAATTTAGTAAATAAATTTTCAATCACAAATATAAACTGAAAATGTTTCGAGTCGCTTAAACTGAATAATGTTTGCATTAAATATTTTTACATTTTACCATTTCAATTCATTTGGTTTTCCCATTTACGTATATTCGTTACACTCGTTAGCCTTTAATATTTTTTAATTATAGATAAAAGCGTTTGCTATGTACGCCTTGAACTTAAGTTGGAGAAATGCAAAAGTCCATTCGGGGATCCAACTTTCTCTTAGAGAACTAAACTAAACGCTACTAGATAGCAATATTTCTTTAAGCTTATTAACAACATCAAATAGTACGCGTAAATGGTTGTATTGGATTTTGTTTTTTTTTTATTTTTGCGTTCAATGCGTTTAATATGTATACTAAACATTGTACGTCGTGTAGAGAAATTTGCTAATTAATGATTACTCTTTTTTGGTTTTGTTTTCTGCTTCTGTTTGCTTAACTTGGAGAGCTTCGTTTTAATGATACGTATAAGTGTTCGAGGGATTCTCTTGTAAATGCTTAAAATTAAAATGAAATCACAAAAAGAATAAACAAAGCAACTTAAACGAAAATGTACTTACTTGTCATGCACAAGGAAATCATGATAAAACGATAAGAAAGTAACTCAAAAGTGAAATATTTTGTATATTGTTTTTATTACAGCTTTTGCATGTTTTTTGATTTGTGTATAGAAATAGTTATAGTTGCTAAAAACATTACACACATAGTTGTTGCTATATCATATAATTTATAATATAAAGTTCATTCCCTCTTTCTTGTATTGTTTCGTATGTGAAATGGTTTGAAATGCTAACAGTTAAATTGTTGCTTTTACCATGTAATATAAATATTAAATTTAAATACAATAGTTTTTAATGCTTGATAGATATTTCGTTTTGCTTCATCTTGCCATTTTGTTTCGTTTTTGTCTACAACTAAGGTTACATTTAATTTAATACTCTTATATAAACGTTTTAGCTTTATACAATTTTTATTTTTGCTTCTTTTATAAATGCAAAAAATGCCCTGCGTCGGCTGCAAAAGTTGGCATTTTCATTTACTCATTTATTTGTTAGGTGAAGAAGGGGGATAAGGGTTTTGGTAGTATTTTCTTTTTGGGTTTTTGTAAAAATTAAATTCAATTTTTGAGCTTAAATGCAGAGTTGCTTTTGATGCTGAAATGCAAGTTACTATATTTATATTTAATTTCATATTTTAGTTTCAGGGTTTCTCTCGTCTCTAAACAAAAAATACGATTACAAACTAGGCGCGATTTGAAAATATGTACAAAACTTAGTGTTGGATAATGCCTTATGTTAGGTTAAATAATTTACAAATGGTATCTGGCAACACGGACTGCCTGCTCTTTGATAATGCGACAACCCTAAAATCGCAACTAACTTTCTACGGGCATTCGAAGTGTTTCTTATTTTTTTGTATTTACTTTTTATATTTGCGTTCGTAATGTTTAATGTTTATGTTTAGGTTAAGGTTAATAGTGTAGTTAGTTTGATTAAAAGTTAGTTGTAATTTCGAAATATGGCTCGTGGCTCTGACTTGGCAGTGTGGGCATATTCCGCTCGCTACTTTACCCCCGAGTGCTCTACGTGGCGGTTACTTAATTGGTTTTGCGTTTCTCAGTCTATTTCGTTGAGGAAAGTGTTTTGTGGAAGGGCATAACAACAGAAGAGGTGGCATTATGAATATTTTGATAGGAAAGTAGTTAATGGCAGGTGGAACAAACGCGCTTCAACTGGATTCGATCGTCATTTTTTTATTTTTGGGAAAGTACCCTTTTCGCTACGCCCTTGGCCAAGCTCTTGGCTCATCTGCTTTAAAAGACAAAGGTTTTTTTGGACTAGAATCTTGTATGCAGATTGTTTGGTTACCACATCTCTAATGGTTATTCTCGACCCTGTTTCGATTTCTAACTTTTAGGAAATTTGTCGAAATAAGAAGGCATTGAAATTCTTTCAGAAACAAATTGTAATTAAATAAGACTTCGAAAATCTGGTTTCTATATATTACAAAAAAAAGAGCTACATTTGGTAGATGTAAATTTTATATTGGAAAAGTTTTTGTTCCAGTAATTTTAATAATTTATTAAATATTAAGAAAACAAAATATAACAAAATGATTTCTATTTTTAAATTATTAATCTTTTTAAAATGACATTTGGTGTGCGAAAGTTATAAATGGTTAATATTAAGTCTACTTTTTTGAAATACAATTTTTGTTTAACAAATCATCAAAATTGAAACAAGACTTTGTTGAGATAATACAAAATTTCATGAAATCACATTCCGCAAAAATCGATCGGAATTGGAAACAGAAACAGAAACAGGGGCTCTTGTTGCGCTTTCCACTCAGTGAACAAACTACGGCTACTCGAATTAATATGGCATTTTGCTGGAAAACCTTTGCTAAAGCTGCCCCGAGCGAGCGAGCGAGCGAGCTAGATGGGTGATGGATGTGGTGGAGGGGTCGTCGGGTGAGAGCCTAAGAGTGCGAGTGAGACAGCAGAGGCCGGGCATGCGAATCGACCAGCTTGAGTGGCTACAGTTGGCTAAAACTGCTGGTCGATACCCAGTGCGCGGTGTCCGGGCGTACCATTAACTATATGGGACCGTAGTCGCTGAGCGCCTGGCCCGGATGCTGGGCACCCGGTCCGCCGGGCAGCGTGACCACCACGGACACGGCCCGCGAATCGATCACCGATCCGGGAGCGGTATTCTGTCCGCCCACGCCATTGTTTCCGTTCCCATTGCCGTAGACATTGCCGGGATTACCGCCGCCGCCGCCAGAGGCGCCATGCATCAGGGTGCCGGGGAGAGGGCCCATGCCGACCGTGCTGCTGCTCATCGCGGTGCCGTGGCCAAGGGTGCCGCCGCCAATGGTGCTACCGCCGCCCCCGCCACCGCCGCCGCCCATGGTCGATGCTCCCCCGACTCTCCATGTCATACGTGGCTGGCCGCCGGTTGCTTGAGAACATGGTGGTGCAGGTGATGGTGGCTGGTGGATGCCACCGAGGCGCCTCCAGCCTGGGTGTAGGGCGTGGCCAGCAGCGAGCCCGCCGCCGAGCCCACGGGCATGCCCATCCCGGATCCGGCATACGGATGCGGAATGGGGGGTCGCTGCTTGATCAGCGCCTGATTGGCGCCCGTGCGATCGGGCGCTCCGAAAAGTCGCCGCCAGAAGCGACGCCAGCTCTCCAGTGTCTTGCCGGACCAAATCCAAACGCCCGAGGTGATGCCCACGGCCAGGGCCATGAAGTACTTGAGCATCAGCACCGAGTAGAGCGGCTTCTTGCCGGGACCCTTCACCTGGGCACACGGACAGGCCAGCGCCTTGATCCAGTCCTCGAAGTAGGCCGCCTCGTACAGATAGCAGCCGATCACTATGGTGGCCGGCACTGTGTAGAGCACCGAGAAGATGCCAATCCTGATCATCAGCTTCTCCAGCTTATCCGCCTTGACGCCGGCTCCAACGCCACCCTGCTGCTTGATCACCGATCGAATCCGGAAGAGGGAGACAAAGCCGGCCATCAGGAAGGTGGTGCCAATAACCAGGTAAACGAAGAGCGGGGCCAGCACAAAGGTCTTCAGGTGATCCGGGTTCAGGTTGCCCACATAGCAAATGCCCAGTATGGGATCGCCATCCACCGCGGAGAGCAGGAGCACGGCCACCGACTGGACCGTGGGTATGAGCCAGGCGGCCAGGTGGAAGTACTGCGAGTGCTTGGTAATGGCCTCATTGCCCCACTTCAGTCCAGCGGCCAAAAACCAGGTGAAGCTGAGGATGACCCACCAGATCGAGGAGGCCATGCCGAAGAAGTAGGTTAGCAGGAAGACCAGGGTGCAGGAATGCGGACCCGTTGAGCTCTCCCGCAGCAGCAGGCCATCGCAGGCTATCTCCTCGTTTTGGAGGAAATTCCGGGACAAATAGCCCACGGCCACCATGAAATAGCAGGCGGAGAGGAAGACAATCGGCCGTTCCGGGTACTTAAACCTTTCGGTGTCGATGATGAATGTGGTTAGGGTCATGAGCGTGCTGCAGAAGCACAGGCCCGACCACAGGGCGATCCAGAGGCCGGCGAAATCCTTTTCGTCGTTGCTGAAGAAGGGTCCCTTGCAGGGAATGCCGCAGTTTGGCACGCCGGCGATCCTTTGCACAGTGAGGTTCATGTACCAGTGATGCGGATGGTGCATCATGGGCGACTGCTGCTGCTGCTGCAGCAGCTGCTCCTTCCCCAGGAAGATGAGTGGGGAGCGGCACGAGCAGCTGCACTCTTTTCCGCTTGCCTTTTCTCCTTGGGGATTTTGGCAGTTTTTTGAATTGCGTCCGCGGCATTGTTTTGTGTTCGTTGAGCCACCGCTGCCGCCGGCACCACCGCCGCCGGAGCCACTGCCTCCCTGCTTTCGCTTGCCACCGGACCCAGAACCGCTGCCAGATCCTCCCGACCCGCCAGAGCCACTGCCGCCACTGCCCGCTTCGGTATAGGAAGGCTGCTCCATGCACAGGTTGTCGGGGTCACCATGGATGGGCAAGTGCTCGCAGGCCATCCTCTCCGGCCACTCGAAGCTGTACTGCTGCATAATGGGTGCACATCCCGAACGTGCTCGTTCGCAGACACTGCGGCAAACGGGCAGTGGTTTGTGATAGTCCTCCAAACATATGGGCGTGTACATGCTGCACAGGAAGAACTTGAGGTCCGGTGAGCACTTGATCTCCACCAGGGGCCAGAACTGGTGCACCTCCAGGCCCGCCTCGTCCTGTGTTTCGTGGTTCATTTCGTTGGGAAAGGAGGTCATGTTGTAGCCAATGCCCCGGCACATGGGTATGGTGATCTCCTCGCAGCGCAGATTGGGATCCTTGGGTATGGCCGGCACTCCGTATCCGGGCGCAGGACTCGCGTCCAAACCATGTCCGCCCATTCCCATGCCGCCCATGCCCAGGCCGTGATCCGGACTGTGCTGCGGCCCATCCGCTCGACAGCAAGTCGTCAGGATGAGGATGAGTGCGAATCCCAGGAGTCCCAGGAGCCTCATTCGATTGTGTCTCATTGTGTGCGTCTTAGCTTAGCTTCGTTCTCGTGTGTGACTTGCACCCCCACTCGGGGTCTCTGTTGGCCCTCTGACCTTCTCTGCGCTTGCACCTCACTCCACGTGGAGGCGCCTCGAGAGCCGGAAAAGCGAGTCGCGTTTCCTTCCTGCCAGACAGACAGCTCAGCGTCAAATCGTCAGCGCTCGACAAACGGCGTGGTCTAGCTGTAATTAAAGGAAAATAAAAAAAATAATTAGTTTTAAGGTTAATTAAAAAAATAAAATAACTACTAAGTTCTTAATAAAATTCACCAGTTTCTCAGAAAATTATAAGACCTCATAAACAACTGCCTTGAAAAGTACAGGGTCCAAAAAACCTATGCTAGTTTAAAATCAAGTTGTATTTAATTTGATTTGCCTTGATTTATTTATTTAGCCAGTAATAAAACCAATAATAAATTACTCTAATATTTCCAACGTCACACCACACAAATTTATGATCATTAAATCACCATTTTGTTTACTGCTATACTTTTATGATAAGGAATTCAGATCCTGATAATGATAGTCTGCACATGTTCAAACCGATTTTTGAAATTATTTTAAGCTTCTAACGAGTCAACCTCCGAAATTCAACTGATTTTCTGCTCTAAAATTTTCCAACAGACGTCACATCGTGGAAAAGAGATGGTGTTATAGTCGTAATTGTGGATCACTGATGAGGCGGCGACAAGTCGTAACTGCTCTTTCCTGTTTTCTGATTCGCTTTCTGGGCCACTCCCTGGAGAACTTTCGCGCTTCATTTGTTTCAATTGAGCGCCGCGACACTTGGACGACATGTCCATGTCACATGTCAAGCACTCCGCTTCTCCCACCATCCAGCACTTCTCCCCGATTTCCCACTCCTCCAACGAGTGTCAACCCTTCCGCCAATATTTGCTGACGCTTCGGGGCTGTCCCTGCTGATGACTCTGATTCCGATTCCAATTCCGATTCTGGAACTGCTACTGCTGCTGCTGACCAAGAGGCGCATCAATCAAAATCAGTGAGTTTTATTAAATTTGACGGCGTCTGCTGGCTGCAAACGCATACATCCAGTGCAGATAGAAAAAAAATTACCCTCTAGAATTAGAAACGATATATATGAATTCAGAAGTTTGCAATAAAAAAAAATATACAAAAACTACTTTTTAGATTAAAAAAATATGTATCTAAATCGGGAAACAATTAACTATATCAAAAGTATGCAACATAACATACTACATTTCCTAGTATCAGAGGTTTATTAAATAAACAGTAAATTCGAATAAAAAACAGCTAGGATAATGGGTTTAAGTATATTAAATATATCAAAAATAACGTATTTCCTTAAAACAAAATTTATAATATGCTCCTATGATTTATTTCTGTAACATGTGTGCTTTTGAAGTTTTTAAATCTGCTAAATTTTAAAGAGTCTTTCAAAAGTAGTTACTTTCCATATGTTACACCCCGTTTTTTTCTCTTGTGTGTGCTTGATGAAAGTGTTTGCTTTGGTTTCCCAGCCGAAGAAGGGTGTGAAACGCTGATGGATTGGATGTGATGAGGCAGAAATTAATTCAAGACAATTGCTCACTTGAAACGCAGTCAAAATGGAGGCTGCAAAGCCACCCATCAAGTTAAGTTTCCACTCATCGCTGGCTGGATAATAAATATTATATGGGTGACACCTTATTTGGGGATAAACAACTCTGACATGGCAGCTGGCGATATCGATGCCAGTGGTTTGTGGTCAACTCAACGGGCACACAGCACAGCTGCTCCAGCTCCAGAAGCGATACTTGGCGATACCGAAAAATTGACAGCTGGACAGACTGAAGTGAAGGGCAATTTACTCGCCAGCAGCTAGCAGCTAGCAGCTTCTGTATGCTCAAAGTCACGAAATTTATCTACAAGATCCAGTTTTTAGCAAGTGTCAAGTGACATACATATTTGCGGCTTTTGCGGCCAGCTTCAGCATCAGTTTCAGTTTGGGATGGATCTCAGCTGCGCGTGTGTGGTCCAAAAGGAAAAGCATCAGCTTTAAAGCTTTACAGCTATACAGAGCTCTTGGAAAAAGTGTCAACAACAGCTGCAAATAAAACATAGTCGTACTCCCCGTACTTTACCCCGCCTTCTACTTTGTTTGGCGCTGAAAGTCCTTTCATTGTTTTTCCGAATGAATGACATTTTAATTAATAACATTTGTGTGCGCTAGTCGACGGCGTGGCGTCCATCACAAATTTGCCCACTCCTCCTGTTTGCCACCGATACAACCCCGAAAATAAGTTGGTAAAGTGTGGCTGTGGCTCTCACTGAAACATTTTTCGTGTTAAAATGTTTGCCGAGCACTTCAAAATAATTAAGTAAATACGCTACGGAAAATGTTTCTAGGACAGCGTGGACGTGGGACGGGGAAAAAGCCCAAGTGTTGTGATTACAACTCGAGGGTAGCGCCAAAAATAAACGTTGAAATCCAATATCGAAATGTGGGCACCAGGCAATCGGATCGTGAGAAACAATGCCAGGCGTTAGTCCGGCTATCGATTACAGCGAATATATATTCTTTATACTCCACATAAGATGGTGGCATCTATCGGTTGCGGTGATGCTGCTTACGCAATGTTCTCCTACTCAAATGACAAATTCAGCAGATGATGGAAGTGCAAAAGTGCAGAGAAGCTGTCATAAATCAAGGTTGAAGAGTGGTTACAGCTGGCCGAGGATTTGAAATAATTTTTCAAAAATTATTTGTTGCAAAACAAAGTTAAATTTGATTTACAATGGCTAAATATATGGGGTACAGAAGCTGTAATTCATTCAAAGAAAATTTAACAATCCAAAATAATTAAAAATAAGTACTTTAAAGTTTAAAACAAATTAAATTTCCCCTAGTAAGTACCCCAATGGCAAAACCTAACCCAATGCATTAACATTTGCCCTCCCAAATTGACACTTGGGTTTTTTCTTCGTACCCGAAAGTAAAAATTAGCAGTAAGCCGAAACAATGCGACAATCACCGAACGGAAAGAGGGAAAAGTCTAATTGGTTTGTCCGACGCAGGAAAATCATATTGAAATGCAGCGAACGTGACCAAAATGGCAGAGACCCCAGCAGAGCGAAATGAAACAGAAAAGAAAAGAAAATGCGTACATATGAACACGTTGGATATGGAAAAGCCACGTTCACAACGGCTTCCACATTTGGATTTGGCCAACGGGTGGTGGTGATTCTGGTTGTGTGCTGTTGTTGTTGTGGTCCGAAAAGAAAAACACTACTTGCTCTGGTTATTAAAGCCTCGAGTGGACGAGGGATCTTGGGCTCCTTTCGGGCCCGACTGTGTTCTGATTGCCGGGCAACACAACTACCACTAATAGGTGGATGTGTTCATGGGAAATGGCCTGGAAATAATAGCAAACGTGCTTCTCTCGAGTGGAGCGAGGCAAAAAAAGAAGAAAAAAAAGAAATAAGCAGAATGCATAAATATTATTTTTAATAGAGAAAAATGTCTCAAGTGGCGGTGACGAATGGATCGCTTCTCTGAGATTCTCTGTGATTCTCCCCGTTTTCTCGGCTTCTCCAAGTGGTAGCTAAATGTTTGTATTTGCCCCGATCGACTGGGCCATGTTTGCTTAATGATTTGTTGTTTTTCCCCCGCTCAGAGTATTTAGTGCAGACTCATATTGTTTATTTAATTGTTAACAAGCGTGCGGCTCAGACGCTACAAGCTCGTTACGAGTAACAAATTATTACTCGAACCCGAATGCATGGCTTTTTGCCAATCATTCCGCCGCTGCTAGAATTTATACAAAATCACGCTGCCATCCAGTCTCAACGATGTTTGTCCAAGCTCTCCAGCAACTAGAGATCTGGCTCTGACTTTCCTGGCCATGTTTGCCAAAGACTTGAGAATGCAGCGAGACAGAGATTCAGCGGGGAAAATGGAGAGGGATCCCCCGGTGATCGGTGAATGGCTGCGCTTCGATGCACTAAAGAGGTCGTCGGGCGGAAGCTGTTACCAAAGTTGGTAGCTCGCCATCACCAGCAACATGGGCAAAACACAGCAGCAACAGCAGCAGCAGCAACAGCAACAGCAGCAACTGCGACAACGACAACCTGACTGTTTTAATTAAACAAACAAGCCAAAGACACGACGGGAAGACGACACCAACGAGCAAATAAGTAGCAAGTGTTGCTGGCTACTCAAAGTACAGTCGACACCCATGGCAAACAAACTGCACAAGGTGTGGGTTTCCAAGAAGGTGGGAATTTCAAAACAAGAAGAGTCTTGAAGGAATGATCTCATTTGCAATATTCCGAGCATCTAAGAAGATGTGTTGTATTTCATTTCATGGATGACTAAAAATGTTGATTGTAACTATTTACATACTTTTCTTAATTACCTTTAACAAAGCCATAAACTTTTAACTACCAATATCGCTTACAAGTACAGTTTACAGCGAGACACAAAAGCGGAGGAAGTAAGTCCGGCGTTCAACTCAAGATAATGATGATGAGCAATTAACCAAACAATGCCCGAAACCAGCATTGTTGGGCAGCCAAAGAGAATGCTAATCGATAACTTATCGCCCCGATGGAGGCCAATCAATCAATCAAAGGCAAAAAACTATAATAAAAAAAAATCCCCCATCGAAGAGGTCTTCATACAAAACGGCTCCAAATCGCCAGCTTCTGGAGTTTGGGGTAAAAATGCAGGAAAAAATAAGCGCCGAATAAGAACGCGGAACATGGAAAAGCCAAAAGGAAAAACTTGCCAACCACAAAGCACTTAAACTTTCTATGGGGGGTATTTCCGCTCTGTTCTCCGTTTTTTTTTATATTTTCGGGGCATCCCCTGTCCCCGTCGCAGGTGCACGAGGCACAAAGAAGCGTTGAAGCAGCAGCAACAAACTCGAAGGGCTCGCAGGTGCAACAGTCAACTCAAATCGCCCACCCACCTCCCCCACTACGCTGTGGCCTTGGCCAAAGCAAACCGCGAAAATCAATTGAAAAACTCGCCGTGAAAAGCGGAAGGAAAAACGAAGGGAGGGTGGCAGGTAGGAAAAACAGAATCAGGAGCTGGATGAGGAGGAGGAGCAACTGTTTGCCTTGTTGGCGGCGGCATCAAAAAGCGCGTAGCGGCGCAAAATGAAAACAGTTTGTCGACACGGTAGGGTCAGAGTGAGAGAGAGAGACAGGTAGACATT